GATAGGATATCGTGTAACACGAACAAAAATTTAAGAACTTTCATTGATTCACAGACCTTAGAAATTCACGTATTTCTAAATCCGTGATTGCTTGCAAGAAAATTTAGTCATAATAGCTTTCAAGTCATTCTCAAACATCATTTGGGAGCGCCTAGAAGTGAATCAAAATAAATGTTATGGCTTCCCTCTGTTGATTTTGACTGATACTAAATAAACCAAGAAGTCATTAGAATTACAAATGAAGTCATCGAACTTAGTGTGATATTTAGATACAATGGAACCACACAGACCACGACAAAAGGAAAATAAAACCTATAGAGTCTAATCACAATTATATACAAGCTATACAAACATTTTAAAAATCAATTTGAAACTTTTGAACACTACTCAGATTTCAATAGCGAAATTTAGGGAATACTTGTTAATCCAATTTCATGGGATGACACAGACAGAGAAGTGTCACACACAATTTTACAGAAACAAGCAAAATAACCTGTCGAATGAAACGAGGCAAAGTACCTTTAATAAATAAAATCTGCTGTGCAGCAATAACATACAACCACATTGAAATAAAGCGTCGATATCTTAGATATCGACCGCCGAGAATATGTTGTGACTGCATAGACCACGGTAACACCGAACACAACTTGAACTACGCTCCTACAATGACAAAGTGAAAGGCGGTAAATACTTCTTTCTATATTTATTATCAAAAATTGCTAATTACCATTTTTAAAAAAAAAAATAATGCTGTTTTTTCGAAAAAAATAATTCCAACAGATCGTACTACGACATCAATTCATTTCCGCATTGTGTTACCAGAATGCCTTCGGAATTTCCCGAGTTCTGCGTCCGTATATACTAAACCTCAGACTAGTAAAACAATAATACACAGCATTCTAATCGTACAAGAAAACATCATGGTGGAACGATCTAACTCATTCGACAATGATGAAGATTTTGGCTTTGACTGATGAAGATTTTGGTTTTGGCTTTGACTGTGTTCCGCCAGACTCTGCCGGTAATCATTTTAATCTCGTAAATTCTGATGCTAAGTAATTACAGTAATACTCTGATAAAATAGGCACATGTTTGTGACGATTTATGTTTCTTATAAGTATTGTTGAAATCAATGACGATGCAACTAACTTTGCAATGTTATTGTCCACAAAAAGACGTAATATTCCCCTCAATCTGTCACACAGTGAACTAAAATTGTCATTTATACACTTTTTTGAAAGGAGTGCTCGGATAAGCCCCCACCCCAACTAAAACATAACTTTTGGAGTACATTATCCTGGGCTAAGTAGGACGAGTACGGTATAAACAGCGAAATGGCCGGTAAGAGTTCAACGGATTTAGTATATATAAGATTTGTTAAGTGGATTGCAGCTTTTTGTGTCGAATACGGTTGTTTCTCTGATAATGTTTATCATATTCGATTGGATCCTAAATTCAAATACGGGTAGTTGGCTCAACCAGAATCAAACTAAAACATCATCCTGTTCTTGAAAGGAATATGGCATTATTAAGTTTGGAAGTTATGAGAAATACTGTTATGATAAATACTGGTAGAACAACTTATTTGAAGTTCACTTTACTTCACAAAAATTTACCCCAACCATGATATTGGAATTCTATATTTCAGGTAATTCTTTGACCGAAACCCCCCACCCAACCCCATATAATGAATGCCTGCATCATTTTAATGCAATATTAAATTCACTTAGGTTATTTTCAGTCAGTATTTTAGGGGTTGAGATTACAAGATTTTTTTTTGGGGGGGGGGGTCCACCAAATTGCATTTATGAAAATAAGGTTTTTACATTACATGGCCTTTTGAATCTGGCTACCAGTTTACCAATCACAAAATGATTGACATACCTGGCATGATTTAGCAGTACTGTAACATGAACATACAATAAACCATTCTGTCATTGGTAGTTCCCCAAAATTTAGAGTGACAAACACAAACGACGGATTAAACTCCTGTGCCTATTCTATCAATATTTTTGAGATAATTCTATTTATAATATTTGCATCCAATTTTCACAAGCTTTCAGTATGTACATACATCGTATATACCACATTAGATTTTTTACATAATTGTTGAATTATAAAATAATCACATCTATCATTTGTAAAAATCTAGCACAGTTGGTAAAGGGGAATTATCAGAGACTTTTATGCTTGTATAGCCTCTTTCATAAGCTGTGCTTGTTCAAAGTTAATCATCAGTTAACAGTGAAAAAATACAACTAAACAAAAGGAGTTCTGTTGTTTCTTTTATTGTTTGTAACAATTATTGTTTATAGAATCACTATAATTACAATGCTATTTCCAACAATATACAATGTGAATTTATGGAGAGAAATTTCTAATGAAAAAGTAAACTGAGAAAGTATATGCAAAATTTAAAACAGACTATAAGTCTGGAAACATATTTGAGTAAGCTAGACTGAGAAAAGGAAATTGTATATAAAATTTAGAAAATCTAGAAATAGAAAAAAGTAGACACGCATAACAAAAACTCTAGTGAAAGATATGCTAAAGATGTAATCGAAAAAGAGGAACACTTTCTATTGATGATACTATAAATATATAAAATTTCATCAACAATCTATTCACATATTTACTTTCAAGTAGAGGTACTAACATTATTTTTAATTTAGCTTATTATATATGTTAAACAAAGAGGCTCTCAAACTGATATTATTTATTTACATCAATTCTATCATATTTTGATAAAATATCACTTTTTGCTATAACCCAAAGTAAATTTACACAGAGGCAATAATATATTATTATTATTATTATGCATATAAAGGTTTCCCAATTCTCACATTAAATAAATATACCCCGGTACTTAGTTTATCATAAAAACTCGTATCATACTGTACTATGGTACAACACTACCCACATCAAACATTAAATGTGCTTATTAAGAACATTTATCCGTCTAGTCATATAAATGATTCTAATCATAAATATACACAATTCTATTTATTTTGTTAAAAACAAGACTGACGCAAAGAGGTGTAAATAAATAAATTAAAGGATGCACTTTTCATCATCAATCCGAGATTTAGTGATTATCTTACAATAGCATATCTATCCCATGGCAATTCAGTGTAAAAACATGTCATTATCAAAAATACCATATTTACTTCATTAGAAGCACATATGAAACAAAAATCACATTTGTTGTATACTGAATCATTAAATATTACATGCACCTCTGTAATTTACATAAGCGCAAACAGTCCATCAGTATCAATAAATGTAGCCTTGCTTATTTCTAAGTGAATCATGTTTTTGTATTAAAATACAATATTATACATCTGTCACCGTAACGCCACAAGTTACAGTGTGCGGTAATGTTGCGGTATTTTACAGGGTATTTTCATCCTACCAAGCGTCCTCTAATAATAAAAACAAACATGGCTGCCACCATGGCACGAGAAATAGTTTCTAAAGAATTGTTCAGTGTAGTTTCCAATGTTTGAGAACACCGTCATAGTAAGCAATAACAGCAATTCACTTAAACATTCTCAAGCAGAAAATACATTCAAAATAATTTTGCTTTAGTTAAAAGCAAGTGTTCAAGTTAATGCAAATGTGCAGAAAATTTTTTGGGAAAGACTTGTTTTTGGTAAAATATGGCTGACAGTCACTTAAATTTCATCAAAACCCAGAAATTAATTTAGAGAATATTAACATTATATTAGTGAAAGTATATCTAAAAAACAAAAACAAAAACAAAAATTGTCATTAGTTAGTCATTTTGAAACAAAGTGCATCAGTAATCAACCAAGTGGAGACAAATTTACATGAACACAATTGGTCAAGGTACATCCAAAAAATGGAAAGAACTTGTGTGCTGAGAGAATTTGAAAACATATGAGCTAAAAATAGGGAATATTTAAAAATAACTCAAAATTTAAGACACCTGGAGACTAATATAAATCTGCTATTTGAGATGCACAATGTGAAAACAATGTTACCATAGTATTGAATTTAAATAGTTTCCATAGGCTACATTTTGTGACCTACTTTGTCAGTTACTTAGTGCTTGTGGATTACATTTCAGTCATTTGTTTTGTTTTCATGGACTTATGAAACTCCATTTCACGACTTGGATATGTATATACATATCCAAGTCGTGAAATGGAGTAATGGAGTAAGTGATGTATGCCTACTGTATACAGAAACACCAATTCATACAATAAATTTACAAGATTTTGGTATTTCTGCTTGGATATTTTCGTCTTTTTGATGGCCATATTTGTTTGATTTGTATATCTCCATGACTACTGCTATATGAATGTCCTTCTCTGCTAGTATCTAACGTATTTGATATGCTATAAAATGGTGCAGAGATTTCTTCCGTTGGTGAGCCCTCCCCCTACCTACTTCTTTCATCACTTAATTGTCTATTCAATGGTTTTTCATCATCTGCTGATTTGTGTTGTAATACACTCAGTCCTGCGCACACTAATTGTCCTAATGTCGGCCTCCATTTAGAACTGGTTGGCAACTGGAACAATAAATTTTTCCAAAACTTGTCTTGTTTTCTACCGGCATTTGGTTCCCATTTTAGACAGCGTGTGACACCAATGACATGCTTCAACGTTTTCATGTGGTCCATGTTAATATTTGCAGGAAGTTTTTCCAACTTAATGATCACTATACGAGTTTGAAGTTTGAGAGATTCTTCTAGCGCGATTTGAAACTCGTACGGTCGCCAGTGAGTTTCTTTTACATATTCAGGACTTTCTAATACTATTTGATCATTATCAGGTGGAACTTGTATATAATCAGGAGTTAACACTAGAAGAAAACAGCTGCTGTCTTTCACTGATTCCACAATATTGTCACATGTGGCTGAAATGTCAATTTTGTGAGAAAAAATTATTTAGTAACACAATTTCAATGGAGATGCCCTTAAGTAAATGAATTCTGTGAAACAATAGCGTTCATTTCCAACAATAGTTCATGTACTAATTGCACAATTTGACTTGGAATTTTTTTCTTGCTAGTCGTGTCTTAACATGATAATTTCATAGTCAATATATTTTAATCTTGACCAAACAAAACCAAATCTTTAGTCTAGTTTAGAGAGAATACACTGATTGCAGAAGTGTATTTACTTCCAATATATTCACTGAACTACTGCTTACATGGTACTGTAAATGGATTAATTATTCAATTTTGCTTATTTCGTTGACTGGAAAATGTGCTACGTTAAAACCCAGTGAATATGTAAAATTTATCTAAATGATAAAACCGTGAATTTAAATCCCACTGAATATGCCTGAAATGATAAATCAGCGAAATTTATAGCAAGTGAAAACTTAGTCATTTTACAGTAACTCAATATGCAAATTACATGTACAGTGGAAATTCACCAATGTGTATTATTTGTACCTCAAGACATTAATTAAACAGACGAGACTGATCTAGTGTCCTGTTGCACAAGACTGTTTATTATACTTGTGCTAATTAAGGCTTTCACATCTTGACTGTGGTTCTATGCGATATTAATCTGAAAAGTCAGTACAGTAAGCAATTACAAAATTCTCTCTTTTGATGTATCAGATTCAGCTCGGAATTGGATGAAAATATTTATGATGTGATTTCAGAGTTAACTCGGGCAACCCAACTTTTCAAACACAGGATATATGACATACTTGATAATGTTTCAACTTACCCACCCCAGCAAGCAGATCCCGCTCAACTAAGCAAGTTTTAAATCCCCACTTGTTTTCCAGGTATTCCAAAAGTTTTTTACAAAACTTTACGGTTTTCTCGCTCCCAATGTGTGATATGAACACATCATATGTTTTACCTAGGAAGAAAATAAGTGAAAATGTTGTACGGCTTTTCATTGTTATTATATAGTGACTGTTATACAATATTTAGTGTCAGTATGTACATTATCAGGTGAGAGGTCCTTTAGGTACAAGGCAATATATGTGTTATAAGGTTTTAAGAACACTGGAGCTTCCTGTGCCATTAAATCATGCAGTATGGCACTTTTGAGGAGTTTGACTTTGCATAACAATCCTAATATCTAGAACCCATTTATACTAAATGAGTTTATTGGTATAATTTCATGTTTGCCTATTACCTACCACTATCTATTATACTAGATGAGTATAGTGATATAGTTTCATGTTTGTCTATTACCTAACATCATCTATTATACTAGATGAGTATAGTGACATAGTTTCATGTTTGTCTACAATCTACCACTATCTATTATACTAGATGAATATAGTGAATAGTTTCATGTTTGCCTATGACCTACCACCATCTATTATACTAGATGAGTATAGTGATATAGTTTCATGTTTGTCTACAATCTACCACTATCTATTATACTAGATGAATATAGTGATATAGTTTCATGTTTGCCTATGACCTACCACTATCTATTATACTAGATGAATATAGTGATATAGTTTCATGTTTGCCTATGACCTACTACCATCTATTATACTAGGTGAGTATAGAGATATAGTTTCATGTTTGTCTATGACTTACCACCATCTATTATACTAGATGAATATAGTAATATAGTTTCATGTTTGCCTATGACTTACCACCATCCATTATACTAGATGAATATAGTGATATAGTTTCATGTTTGCCTATGACATACCACCATCCATTAGACTAGATGAATATAGTGATATAGTTTCATGTTTGCCTATGACCTACCACCATTTATTATACTAGATGAGAATAGTGATATAGTTTCATGTTTGTCTATGATCCACCACTATCTATTATACTAGATGAATATAGTGATATATTTTCATGTTTGCCTATGACTTGCCACCATCCATTATACTAGATGAGTATAGTGATATAGTTTCATGTTTGTCTACGATCCACCACTATCTATTATACTAGATGAATATAGTGATATAGTTTCATGTTTGCCTCGCACGCTAACTCTTTCATCGATACCGACAACAGGATGTTTACACAAGTGTTGCATATTATCCTTGTCATATCATAATGTTTAACCTTGTATCCATATTTTGGCATTAAAGCACTGTGGATATTTATTAGTACTAAAATGACTATGAAAACGCATGTTGACTGAGGTGTCTGGTTTATGACAACCCTTGACATTTCACAACTCTTAACATAAATAATGTACATGCACATGGATACCATTAGAAAAATTATAAATTGTTATAATCCCAGCACATTTAGTTTATTCTGTAGTTGTGTATAGGTCTTGGATAAAATCAAAGAAAGCTCAGAAAAAAACTTCTGTATACGGAAGGAAAAGATTGAAGCCATAAAATAGATAAATAATCTAAATTAATTAAAATTGGCCTATAAAAGTATTAAAACTCAACAATGCATCGGCAAATATTGTTTTGACAAAGTTGAATCGAAACCTACCACATATCAGGATATATTGAATGAATTCAATTAAATATGCAAATTAGATAATTATTGATACACATGATCATATTAATTTTCTCAACAAAACAGATTGTTGAGATGCAACTATATATACATTATACAAATTGTCTATAAATTTACATATCATTATTCACAGATTTCAATCCCAAACTGGTCATCATCCAAACCATTAAGCTGATCAAAGAAAATTTCGAACTCCAAAACAAAAAGCAAATTGTATTTATTGCATGCAAATTCAATGAAATACCTTTTATTTTGACGATAGACTTGCCTTTGTTTTTCTTATTTATTCAATGGACTTGCCTTTTTTTGAACAGATGTGCTTTTAATAGGGCAAATACAGAATTATATATCTTGTCTGACAACACAATTATAGTCCAAGTTGCATGTCCCTATCTGCAACGGTACTGAAGATATCGTATTATGCATATTAATCAGGTCACATGACCATATATATTCATCTGATACATTGGCCACATATCTTGTCCGATGACTTCATTGTGTCACTGGTTGCATGTTACTATATGCAGCAGTACTTAATATATTACAGTTATGCATATTAATTAGGTCATATGACCATATATAGTCATCTGATACATTGGTCACATCTCTTGAAAGATGACTTCATTATACTATAGCACTGGTCGCGCATCTGCACCATTTAAATCAATTTTTTTTTCATATTTTAGAATTGTTTTAGCTTATTTTGTATGTGTTATTTTGGACTTTACACTAGCTCTGTATTGTATACGTGCCAAATAAAATCCTATCCTTAAATCTGGTCACATGACCATACAATGTATATGGTCATCCGATGTTAGTCATATCTCTTGTCAGAAATTACAGTTATGCATATTAATGAGATAACATATTCATCATATCTTCTGTCAAATGCCTTCATTATAACACTAGAATGTTTATATCTACAGCAGTGCTTAATACATTACAGTTATGCATACTAATTAAGTCACATGAAACAATTAGGTAGTTCTTGAGAAAAAAGTGAGATGTACAGCATGAAATTGGCTACTTAATATGCAAATTAGATCATTAAGATGCACAGATTTTAACCAAAAACTAATTTGGTTTGTGCATTATCCCACAGCATCTATGTAACAAATTTAATTGAAATCTGTTAAATGGTACTTGAAAAACCAGTGAAAAAGCTTCAAAATGACTAATCAGGTCTGCACATAATGTCAGACCACCTATGTATCAAGTTTCATTAATTCTGTTTGGTGGTGAAAATGCTTAAAATTGGGTAATTAGGTTATTCATATCCTCAGATTTCAACCAAAAACCAAACTAGTCTGCATATTATCCCAGAGCATCTATGGTACCAAGTTTTTCACTGAAATCTCATAATTGGTTAAAATAAATTTGATTCAACTTTAATATAGTTGAAATATGGTTGGATAAAAGAGCAACTCTTTATGGCATTGCATTTTAATAAAATAAAAATGCAAAAAAGTAAAAACAACATCATATAATTTGCTCTTACTAAACCTAAGCTGCACAAACTTAAAATAAATTTGATTAAATAATAATAGTGAGGTTCGTCACTTAGTCAAGCTGTTGTCACTTGTTATGTCTGTTATTGAATGAAAGTCATCACAATGTTGAATTCACGCATACTAACTGCAACACGTCATTGTCAATGACAGTCCCCATCATGTTTTTAGTGACTTTGTCAAACAATGAAAAGCATAGTCAGATTATGTTTAAATATTGGGATAGTATTTAGCATATTAACACAATGCTTGATCAATAATCAACATGCACATTATGGTGCCATCAAGTCCACATTACTTTCACTGATTGGTTAATTAGGATTCATAGAACAT